GGTCGAGGAAGAAAGGAGTAAGACTGGAAGAGAAGAAAGAATACAAAGGGAACAAGTTAAGGGAAAGAAAGAAGAGAACAAATACAAAGAATAGTGAAGATAGTAAAAAAAAATGTGTCTCCTACTCTGAGAACACCTTTATCTTTGAGTAAATGTGTAATCTGTGTAATTTATTAATCTCATTAGCCTTTTTAAAAATTTTGGTTACCAATGCAACTGTTCACCCATTTTACTCAAACGCTGTTATTATTGGCAACAAATGAAAAGTGCCTGTCAGTTACAAGCAATGTCAGAACGTATCTAAGACAACAGCAACCACAACACGCACCAATAGAATGTGATCGCTACAGCAACAACAGTGACAACAACATATTATTATCACAGAACAATGACATGACATTTAAATGTCCATTGTAGCTTAAAACCACAACAAAAAATATATAAGAAATTTTAAAACGTGGTACGTAGGCCTAACTTCAAAGCAGAAAATTATCATCATCATCATCAACAACAACATTTCTAGACAACCAGCTGGAGACAGCACTTTACATTCAAGGAAAACATAACTGTTTTTTTGTAAACATCGTTGTATGAAGTTGGGAAAGAAAACTACTGTTTCAATTCCAACTACTCTTGACATTTATTGAAAGCATTTGGCACATTTTTAATTCCGTTGTTTGTTTGTTTTTTTTTATTGTACTTTTTGCCGCTTGGTTATGGTAGCCTGTGTACTTAGAGATTTGTTTTGAAATGTTTGATTGAATAAAAACAAACCCAATACACTAATCTCTGTGACTAACAGAGTTGCATTTTTTTTTCGTTTAGACCAATTGACTACAAACTTAATGTTATGTCTAAATGATACGTGTAAGCTACGCTACGTTCTCCAGCATCGGTCAAACTTCTAATAGATCTGTTTAGTATACTAAATATAGCCAGCGTCTGTGGAGTCGCAGTTAGGCACTTCGCTATGGCACGCAGAAAACGTAGGTTTGAGACCCGTGTGGGGAGGTTTCTATGGAACATGTCCATTTGTCTTTTGGGATGTTGTGTCCCTTTCAGCCCATAAGGGTCCTGGCAGACAAGGTCGAAAAAACTCGCCCAATGTTATCTAATCTAAATTGTGTTACGTTGATGGAGGCATATAAAAATCCACGATTGCAATGACACCGACGATAGGCCTACTGTTTCTGCATGGTGGTAATCGTTTCGGTTCAACATCCATTTAATCATCATTGTAATGTCGTTTAAGAGGCACTACCTCTGAACTTCGTCCATCTCCGATAGGACCAAGCCAAGTGGGTGGAGAACCTTGAAAACTTAACAAAAAACCCAAGTTTATCCGCAGCACAAAGCCTGGTGTAATACCAACTGAAATAACGGATAGACGGTGCTGTATTGGACAATACTACATTATGTCCCGAGATGTTGGCACGAGTTGATGATAGAGGGGTCAGGGAAGGGAAAGACAAGAGACGCAGAGAGAGAGAGAGAAAGAAAGAGAGAGAGAGAGAGAGAGAGAGAGAG